TTATTCCATCAATTCCTGGTGCCTTGTTCTTTGCCAGTTCCTTCAATGCACCTTGGACTTCCTCTAGGAATGTAAATATTTTTTAAATGTTGCATGGGTATTCTGATGTCTCTCTCATGTCTCCATACTGAAAGTTGTCAAGCTAGAGCAATGATTCATAAACGCCTTGAAAATGAATCTTTCTCCACTATCCAATAGGCAGATTACAGAGTCTCAATAACAATACCTGGCTCAAACACTGAGAAAAAGTGGAAATTAACTTATCGCCAGTTGTTGTCTTTCAGGAAACCCACTTGCATAAACTCTTCTTTGAGCCACACACTAAAAGCACCACCATACAGGCAGAAAAAATTACTTGGGAAGAGAGAAATCATGAATTAGACTGTAATCATAAAAACTGAGAATTACAAGTAGCTGCAAGCTAGTTTGCCCATTGTTTCCCAAGGGGATAAAGGCACAACCTAGATTAGATTGATTGCTATTGAGGAGGAGGATTTCAAAACCTCCTTCACTTACTTTTGCAAAATCTAACAGTCCTCCAGCACAGGCAATCCTTTTGTATCCTTAATTTAAATCTTGCTTGCTCGGCTTCAGTCCATTTCTGTCTTTTGTTAAAATAGAAAAACAGCCAAATTCACTCCACATCAAAATCTTTCAGCAACTTTAAGAGGGGGAGGGCTGGCTACCAATTGCATACACATTTGTTTCTGAAGGAAAACACAGACTCATACTGGTTAAGCACAGTTGAGATGAAGGGTAGAAGCTGATAACTGTACAGGATTTTTTACAACTGATAACTTTGAGTTCTATTTCACCAACTCAGCAGATTTGGCAATAGGCCTCAAATTATCATCCTTTCCCATTGTACTAAACATTCCACCCTTTGAGAAAACAGAATAAAAATCCCAGTTCTCATTTACTCTTTCTGTAGTAATTTACGGAGCCCTAGTGATGCTGTGGGTTAGGCACCGGTCTGCTAACCAAAGGTGGGCAGTTTGAGCCCACAAGCCGCTGCTCAGAATATCCTGTCCTATAAGGTCTCTGAGTCAGAACTGACTGGACAGCAATGGGTTTGGTTTTGGTAGTAACTTAAATTCCCTTCTCCACTGGCTTCCACATTGGCTTTGAACCACATGTAGCCATCTCCTGAATTAAAGTCTTCAATAAGCACTACTTTCTGCACATGTATATGAGCACTTCCTCATCTCCCTTGGGCCTTTCACACCTAAATGTACTGCATTTCTACTTTCTGCCTTTTTAGTATTCTTAAATTCAATTTCTCACTTAAAGAGGTCACAAACGCCTCGTGACCATTTCTTATTCTTTAGGACTTCCAAGTTTATCCCTGCTGCATTTAACACCTTTAAATTGTTCTCATTCATTTATTCAGCACAGATTCATTTAGTATCTACTGCATACCTCACACTGTACTAAGCAGTGTGATGAAATGGAAATAACATGACCCCTGCCCTTATGAAATGAAGACATACATAAAAGACAATTAGAGATTGGTTCCAAGGTAGTGGGGACAGTAGAGAAGGCCCAGTGAATAAAGATCTAAAAATTACGTGTAGAATTTGCTGAAAAGGAGAAAGAAAAAATATTCAAAACAGCAGGTCATCTGAGGTAAAATATATAAAGGCCTTTTGTCACTTCCTCTTTTGCCCATCCTGAGACATTTTTTTGTTCTCAAATTTTATTCCATAAGTAGCTATCCATGAATCAGAGCTGACTGTTACCATGATTATCCACAGACACAATGTATTAGACAGCTTAAGAGACATGATACACCAGGACCTATGTGGGCTACAACAAGGCAGTGTTATAGAATAATCTTAGAGAAAGGGTTTTCAATAAGAAGTGTGGGTGTTAGGCATCTTTAGAGTCCTAGACACCCAAAGACCGCTACTACTCTTGGGAGCTAAAGATATGCACCAGTGCTCTTAGACCATTCAAGGGTCATTCAACTTCATCCAAGTATTTCCTTCAGACAAAGCTCTAGTACAGACAAATCATTTAAAGCAGTTTGAAGTACTGAATTTGAAAATGGGATGTGCAATAGTGATGCCAGGGGTGTCCTTTTCCCACTGTTTGCCTGTTAAGCTTTTCCCATTTTTCCTCAGGTCTTATTGGTCAAGTATCCATTCCCCTTAGCATACCTACGGTCCCTTCCTTGTGCTTCCATTAATATATACTTCTAAAACAGCACTTATCATACCACACTATAATTATTTGTTTACTTGTCTAACTAGCCATTAGCTCTTTGATGGTGAGGATGTTTTATTCATCACTGATTTCACACATAATAGGAACTCAGCAAACATTTTATAAAATGCATTAATAATGAATGTCATGGGAAGTTCTATAGAATGGTACCTTCTGAATTGTAGACCAAAATTATAATAAGTACTAACACTATTTGAAGACTAAACTCCTCTTAGGCGTTTCTACTACTCAGACCATTCTTGGCCAGCATAAGCAACTAAGGATATGAGAAGTTTGCTCCAATAGTGCTGGCCATTGCCAAGTTACCAGTCAAGAATATGAGAGGTTGACAGTACTATGAATGAGTCAACACAACAAATGAACCAGCAGAATCCATTTTAAGACAGCTTCTAAGTTTCAGGCACCTTTTACTGCCTGGGTGGCACTATAGAATTGTTGTTGTTGTTTAAGTGCCGTCGAGTCGCTATAGAATACTGGCCTGCTAAACACAAGGTCTGCCATATAAACCCAGGGTTACTATGAGTTAGAACAAACTCACAGCATTTACAACAACAAGAACAAAAGAATTTGAACAATTTAATAAAAGTCCTTGTTGTGGTACTGTTGAGTCAGTTCCAACTCACAGCTCTCTGTACAACACTGCCCAGACTACACCATCCTCACAATTGTTGCTATATTTGGTCCCACTGTTACAGCTACTGTGTTAATTCTAGGAAGAAGGACCTGGCAACCTACTTCTAATAGACATTGCCAGTGAAAACCTTATGAATCCTTATGAGTCCTTGTTGTTGTTGTTGTTGTGTGCCGTGGAGTTAGTTCCGACCCATAGAGACCCTGTACAGGGTTTCCGAGACTGTAAATCTTTACGGGAGCAGAAAGCCTCATCTTTCTCCCGCGGAATGGCTGGTAGTTTCCAACTGCTGACCTTGTGGTTCGCAGCCCGATTCGTAACCACTACGCTACCAGAGCTCCTTTATGAGTCCTTAGAAGGGCCAATTATTTCCACTGTCATGGAGCCTTGTGGTTAGTTTTGATTCAATACAACTTCTGCTGAAATATACAGGAAAACAGTTCACCTTCTGACCAGTGGTTACGAATCAGGCTGACAAACCACAAGGTCAACATTTCGAAACTAACAGCTGCTCCATGGGAGAAAGATGAGGCTTTCTGCTCCCGTAAAGATTTATAGCCTCAGAAACCCTGTTCAGGGTCGCTATGGGTCAGAACCGACTTGACAGGACTTAACAACAACAACAAGGGACAGGATCTTTACTAAGTCCTCCCAGAACCCTGCCATGTATACATCAGCACTCATCCTCACTGGTTAACTCATCTTTGAAGAGATACAGATAGGCAAGGCAATAAAATGCTGCTATCTCAAATGCCTGGTGTGGCGCTGTGGGTTAATGTGCCAGACTGCACAGTCGGTTTGAACTGCAAGGTTGGTGGTTCAAGCTTACCAGTCGTTCCTTGGAAAACCTCTAGAGGGTTGCTACGGGTCAGAACTGACTCGACGGCACTTAACAACAACAACATCTCAAATGCCTCTCCCAATAAACAATCTTACAGTGCACAAGGCTACTGTGTTTACAAACTGCTAATAAAACACCAAAATCTAATCTGATTTGTGGGAATAAACACCCAGACTTCCTCAGGGATTAAACAAATTCAGTCTACTATAATATGGAGTCCTGGTGTGGCACTGTAGGATAAGCACTGGACAATGAGGTCAGTTTGAACCACAAGGTCAATGGTTCAAACTCACCGGTCGCTCCTCAGAAACCCTATACAGGGTCACTTCAAGTCAGAACTTACTCAAGGACACTTAACAACCAACATATTTCTAAAGTTGTAGGACTCACAAAATTGAAGAAAATATAAGTCCAATAAGAAGATGGAAAGGAACTTAACCTTTGAAGACTGTCTACAGGTGGGTGGGATTTGGCTGCTGGCTACCAGTGAATGAGACAAGCAATGTCAAAAGGCAAACCAGGAGAACTATTCTCTGGGCAGACATTTGGCTCCTTGGAGGTTATCATTCATAAGAAGCCAAGAAGCTCCAGTTAATTTAGGTCTCTTAAAGAGACATATAAATTTGTTTTGACCTCAGGCAAGAGCATTTACCACACCAGCTCCTCAGACTAGGTGTTTTAGTATATTTCCTTTTGTTATTACTGCTCTTAACTCCAGTTGTAATACTAACACCTGCAGCTGTATTAGTCATAGGTTTGTCCTTAACAGGGTATGTCCCACTCCCCTCTTCCAAGAAGGGAAACTGAGTCATCACATATAAACTGGCTTCCCCAAACACAAAGTTAGTTTGTAGTGGGGCCACGCTTGAACTCAAGATGCCTTCTTCCTATTCACCTCTGTTCATGAATGAATCTCAGCATGCCCACAACTGTTTCTTTTCCTTCCGCTTAAAACTGAATCAATGTCTGCTTGAGGGGTTGTTGTTGTTGTTAAGTGCCGTGGAGTCGGTTCCGACTCATAGCAACCCTGAACAGGGTTTCCGAGGCTATACATCTTTACAGGAGCAGAAAGCCTCATCTTTCTCCTGCGGAACAGATGGTAGTTTTGAACTGCTGACCTTGTAGTTCACAGCCCGATTTGTAACCATTACGCTACCAGAGCTGTAGAGATGGGCAAACCTGATCCTTTAATGCCAACAGTAGTTTCTAGTTCTCATTCCCAAGAAAGAGGAAGGTGAAAGCGGTACCTGGAGCAGGAAAGGGAAGAGTTGTAAAAGGGTGGCTCCCAGTACTAGAACTCACCTTGGAGCTGAGGTCGTCTCGCCTATTTCCTGCCTTACTCCTACGTAGTTTGATGGATGGGGATCGCAGCAGGTTCTTGATCCGGCTGGTAATGGTTGACCCTTCCACAGCCATCATGATGAGAAGAAGCCACTTGGAATAGTCTCTTGCTCGGTCTTAGGACCTGTCTCAACAGTGATACCGCCTTCCCACTCTGCAGGGCCTTCCACTTACTGACCTGAGATGGCAGGCGCCACCTTAGCACTAGAATAAGTGCCTTATCTTCTACCGAGCTCAGTCAGCAACTCTTGGCTCTAGGTATTATTGCCCTCTCTAGTCACCGACAGCAAATTCATCTCGGAGCCCAAGCTCTGAGGGATTTCTTAAAAAGTCGGTAGTCAAACCCATGAAAAAGGGGGAGAGGGAAATCCTGAGTCGTGAAGAAATGCCAGGCCTACGCTAGCCAAAGGCGATTAACTGGTGGGATGCAATGGGCCCTACCTAGCAGGGTTGGTGACTGGTGACAGGTCTGATCCCCGTTAATTCTCAACTGTTCCCATGGTAACTGCAGTGCTGGATGTAGGAGGCCGCCGAAGCCACCAGAGTGCCGTAGGGGTCCTAGGCACCTGCGCTAGCAACCGCGGGGCTTACCCTGGCCCAGCAACCTGCTGTTCTGCCACAGAAATCTCTTCCACCCGACCCTCCAGCGCTCCCTCTCCGCCAGCCACACGGGCCCTGGACCTTCTCTTTCACAACCCTTCCCCTTAATCTAGAAGCCCCTGCTACTCGTCAGTGCCCCCGCGAGGACTCAACCTCATCAGCCCCGGGGCACTAAAGCCGGCCAGTTCACAGTTCCCTCAGGCATCTGGCTCCGCGATTTCAGCTTAGCCGCGGCGGCAGCAGCGGCAACAGCGGCAGCAGCGCAGCAGAAGCAGCTATGGTGGCACGAGCGGTTCAAAACGCGAACTACCGTCTGGGCCAAACTCACGGGTTGGGTGGGCGGAGCCAAGGCTAGTGGGGCGCGGTCTGATCTAGAAAGATGTTTGGAGAGCAGACGGGAAAGGTCTCCGGGGCGGAGCCAAGGAAAGGACCTAGGAAGTCAATGACTTGGGGCTCTGGAACCACGGATTTGGCACAGTGCAGTCGTGGGTTCCGCTACTACACGAAAGTCTACAAAATATGGCTTCAAATTTAAGAGAACCAAGCCTTTTATGGTATTATCGGGCCTATTCCCCCAGACAATGGCATTTATGGGTCGGAACCGACTCGACGGCACTTACAAGACCATAACCACGCCCCCAGATGCATTTGATAGGCTCATTGGACCAAAGTTGAAACTGATTGCTAGCTCAGAATTACTAGACTGGAAGTACAGCATAAAGGCTCTACTCCTATCAGAATTTAAAGCTGTTAAAATGGTTTGGCTTGCCAACAGCCAACACGTGAAAGCACGTGGAAATGACTCTTCTGAGTAACTCATTCAGTTGCTAAGATCAGCGTTTTGCACTGGGCTGGGCGACTTACTGACAGTGATGTACCGGAAGAGTGGAGAAGGAAGACAAGTGAGTGTGTCTGTGGGACATATTTGTTTTATGGTATTTTTTTTATCCCCAATGTCGCACCCTGGTAGCTAGTGGGTTATTCGTTGGACGGCTAACCCCAAAATCAGTAGTTCAACTTCACCAGCCGCTCTGCCGGGTAAATATGAAGATTTCTGCTCCCTTAAAGATTTGTTGTGGTTGTTGTTAAGTGCCATAGAATCTGTTGCAAGTGGGTTGAGTTGGGCTGCTAATCCCAAAATCAGCAATTCAAATTCACCAGCCACTTTGTGGGATAAAGATGAAGCTTTCTTTTTCCTTAAAGCTTTGTTGCCATTAAGTGCCCTTTCAACCCTGTGTAGCAAGAGTGGGGGTTGTTGCATTTAAGTGCCCTCGAGTCTGTTCCAACTCACAAGGTTTCTGAAGAGCGGCTGGTGTGTTTGAACCACTAATCCTGCAGTTCATTTTGTTGTTGTTAAGTGCTGTCAAGTCGTTGTTGTTGGTATGTGCCGTGTAGTCGGTTCCGACTCATAGCAACCCTGTACAGGGTTTCTGAGGCTGTAAATCTTTATGGGAGCAGAAAGCCTCATCTTTCTCCTGCGGAACAACTGGTAGTTTCGAACTGCTGATCTTGCGGTTCACAGCCTGATTTGTAACCACTATGCTACCAGAGCTCCTTGTACATCAGGCTAATTTTTAATTTGATAATTTTGTATGGCCCACGAATGTTATTATAAATTTTGGCAGTAAAAAGGTTCCCCATCCCTGCTGTATAGGATTTCTGAGGCTTTATATCTTTCCAGGGGCAGAAAGCCTCATCTTTCTCCCATGGATCAGCTAGCAGACTTGAACCAAGGACCTTGTGGTTCTCAGTCCAGCGCTTAAAGATTTACAACCTTGAAACCTCAAACAGGGTCTTTGAGTCAGAACCAACTGGACAGCACTTAGCAGCAGCAACAGCAGCAATGTCCCACCAAGCTTTCCCCCAGAATTAACCAGGACATTATTGCTCCAGATCTTTTCTTTGCTCTTGTCAACTTAGTTAAGTCTATTCCCCAGGACCATAAATTACCGATGTCATAAATTGGCTAACAGTAGATTTAATGTAGTTTTTCTAGCCCATGGGAAGGGGGCACTGGAACACTTTCACATATTTATATTTTACAAGTATCTCAAACTAAGTTCATTTATAAGGCAACACAGGATTTGCCACCTCATTTTTTCCTTAAAGAAAATGCTGTGTGAAAGTTTAGCCTAATCCAAAGGAGACCTGACTGGCAAATAATAGTACATTAATGTGCCTGTCTTGCCCTATTCAGATCCTTGGAACCCAAGGGAAGATAACATGTTACCAAGAAGAACAAGACAAGACCAGTCAATTCTGACTCTTAATGACAAAGAACAACCCCACAAGCATGACTCGAACCACAGGGTCCATGGTTCTAGCCCACTAGCTGATCTGAGGGAGAAAGATAAGGCTTTCTGCTCCCTCCAAGATTTAAAGCCTCGGAAATCCTGTACATAAAGATAGATAACCTAGCCATTAGTGAGCTGAAATGTACTGGTGTTGGCCATTTTGAATTGGACAAATTCTATGGTTTACTATGCCAGGAAGATCTAATTAAAGAAGAACAGCATTACATTCATCATCCAAAAGAGCATTTCAGGATCTATACTGAAATACAATGCTGTCTGTATATAATGCTGTGTAATATCCATACACCTATAATGAAGACCAGTTAATACCACTATTTTCAAATTTACACACCAACCACCAAAACCAGTGATGATGAAATTGAAGAATTCTACCAACTTCTTTAAGAAGTCCTGGTAGTGTAGTGAACTACAAATTAGACTGCTAACTACAAGGTCAACAGTTCGAATCTACCAGTCACTCCATGGTAGAAAAATGAGGCTTTCTGCTCCCATAAAGATTTGCAACCTCGGAAATCCTATATACAGTCTAGCTATGACTTAGATCTGACTCAAACAGCACACCATCACAACCAACTTCGTCAATTTAAAATAGATCAAACATGCAATCAAATGCACTGATAATTACTGGTGATTGGAATGGGAAAGTTGGAAACAAAGAGGAAAGATCCATGGAAGATATGGCTTTAGTGATAGGAATTATGCTGGAGTTCACATGACAGAATTTTGCAAGATCAACAACTTATTCACTGCAAATACCTTTATTCAACAGCATAAAAGGTGACTATACACATGGACCTCACTAAACAGAATGCACAGGAATCAAATTAACTGCATCTCTGGGAAGAGACAATGGAGAAGTTCAATATCATAAGCCAAAACAAGACCATGGGCTGATGTGCTCATATGCAAGTTCAGGCTAAAGCTGAATAAAATTAAAACAAGTCCGTGAAGGCAAAATTTGACCTTGGGTATATTCCACCTGAATTTAGAGACCATCGCAAGAATATATTTGATACATTAGCCACTAGTGACCAAAGACTAGAAAAGCTGTGGGATGACATCAAGAACATCAAACCAAGAAGAAAGTAAAAGCTCATTTTAAAAACAGAAAAGAAAGACAGGAACAAAATGGATGTCATAAGATACTCTGAAACTTACTCTTAAGCACAGAGACGGTAAAACTAATGAAAGAAAAAGGGAACAGAGCTGAATAGAAAGTTTCAAAAGAGTAGGTCAAAACCACCAAATATTATGAAATGTACAAAGACCTGGAGTTATAAAACCAGAAGGGAAGAACATGCTTAGCATTTCTCAAGCTGAAGGAAATGAGGAAAAAATTCAAGCCTCAGGATTCTATGGGCAAAGTATTGAACGATGCAGGAAGCATCAAAAGAAAATAAAAGGAATAAAGTCACTATATCAAAAAGAATTGGTTAATGCTCAACCATTTGAAGAGTTTGCTCAATTATTCGAAGAGTTTGCATATAAGCAAGAACCAATTACACTGAAGAAAGAAGTCCAAACTGCACCAGACTTGCATTAGCAAAAAACAAGGCACCAGACACCAAAGTTATGAGACCAAATGAAACAGATACAGATGAAAATTCGGGAAGCCTGAATTTCAGAGAAAAAATTAGAGAAATAGATTGTATGTTTGCTGGGAAGAGAAGCTGAATAGGGATGGCGAGAAAGGGAGACTGACTAATGAATGGCCAGCCAGACACAGCACAACCATCTTATGAGAACCTTTAGTAACACAAGGTGGCCTGGTGGGGCAGATTCCCACAGGTGAAAGGAAAGGTGCAATTCCTCCCCTCCACACACACACACACTCCCCTGGTGACCAGAGGAGTGGCCAGCTCCCATCCTCATTCATCCCCAGTACAGACCCTACACTCCAGTAGTTCGAAACCAGTGGGAACTACACCAGTGTGAGGCAGGGAGCCTACTGCACCACTTTGATACCTGGATTCAGATGGATTCTTTCCCAGACCTACAGAACCCAACCTGTAGAGCCACCAGACCAGAATATAACCAGTCATCTTGTCCCCAGCTGCCCTGTGGTCCTAACTGAAACCAGCTCCATCAAGGACCTCCAGGAACTTCATCCAGATTGAGTGCCCTTAACCTAGGTAACACTGAGGTCAATAGAAATGCCATCTAGAA